GAAGGTTCACCAACATCGAGTTCCAGTACTCCACGCTGCTACTCAGCATCCGCTACGGCCTCACCCCCGACACCCTGGACGAAGAGAAGGCCCGCGTCCTGGACCAGGCCAGGCAGAGGGCGCTGGGCACGGCCTGGGCCAAGGAGCAGCAGAGAGCCAGGGATGGCCGCGAGGGCAGCCGCCTGTGGACGGAGGGTGAGAAACAGCAGCTGCTGAGCACGGGCCGCGTGCAGGGCTACGAGGGCTATTACGTGCTCCCCGTCGAGCAGTACCCTGAGCTGGCGGACAGTAGCAGCAACATCCAGTTTTTAAGACAGAACGAGATGGGAAAGAGGTAACAAAATCGTCTCCTGCCATTCCTCGCCTGGATGGCTCAGCGGGAGTCACTGTTATCTCCTCTCCTAAGGAGATGAAGACCTAACGGGGCACTAACGGCCGGGCTGCTTTAGGAGACCAAGTGGCAAGAAAGCTCACATTTTTTGAGTTCCAATGCTACTGTCCACACGAGAAGTCCCACCTCCTGGAGTAGACTAAAGCCCGGCGGCAAAATTCCTGAGGAAAAAACAAACAAGCAATCAAAACACAAAACAGACAAATGGACGAACACACAACCATGTTCCAAGTTCCCCTAAAATAATGACCCACTTGTTCAGGGTCTACGCAGCCAAGAGACAGAAAGAGACGCAAAATGTTCAAAACAAACAAAACATACATGTGCACACAGGAAACAAACAAAATACACACACACACACACAAAAAAAACAAAAACACACCGAGCGAAAAGCAGAGACGTGAAGATGAGAAGGCCTCATGTTCTATTACCTCACTCATTCCCACGTGAGCGACACACAGATATCCGTGAGGGCCGGCATCCCACGACCAGCTAAGGACCACGATTCAGACTGCTCGTTGGATAGATACTACAGACGTTTTCGTTTAAACAAATACAGGTGCATTTAAACCATGACTTTGGGGGTGATTTGTGTGTAGCGACTGGGGAGGGGGGGGATAAAAGTGAAAGAGTGAGCACTGGAAATAACTTTTTAAAGAAAAAAAATAGAAAACACAAGAAAAAAAAAAGGAAATTAGTATCAAAAATCGAAGCGAAATAATACCGTTCAGCACTTAACTCTCAGGTCCTGATTTAGTCTGGCCTGAGCTAATTTATTTGAGCGCAGAGTGTAAAATTTAATTCCAAGGGTGGCTATAATCACTACAGATCAATTTCATACTCTTTTGTCTTTGAAGATTCCATTGTGGACAGTAATACGCAGTTACAGGGTGTAGTCTGTTTAGATTCCGTAGTTCGTGGGTATCAGTTGCAGTAGAGGTGTGGGCATCGTGACACTCTTTTGCTAAACGGGCACCACTTCAGATCACCCTGTACATACCTAAGCCTCGAGGCACAATCACTGTTTGAGATTTACAATTATTAGTGTGTTTGTTTGGTCCAGAAACTGAGACAATCACATGACAGTCACCACGAGGACAGCAAATAAAAAATTTTAAAAACCCACAAAAAACAAGAAAAAAAAGTTTAAAAAAAAACCATAAAAAAATGTCTAATAAGAACTTTGGTACAGGAACTTTTTTGTAATATACATGTATGACTTGTTCATCGAGTTTTTATATTAATTTTAATTTGCTGCTAAGCAAAGACTAGGGACAGGCAAAGATAATTTATGGCAAAGTGTTTAAATTGTTTATACATAATAAAGTCTCTAAAACTCCTGTGGACACTGGTCTTCTGTGGAAATGCTTTGCGGTGAGGGCAAGGTCAAAAGTTCTGGAGGAAAGGGTGTGTGTGCATGCTTAAGTCGCTGTTATGTCAGACGCTTAAGACCCCACGGACTATAGCCCACCAGGCTCCTCTGTCCATGAAATTCTCCATGCAAGAATACTAGAGTGAGCAGCTGTTCTCTTCTCCAGGGGATCTTCCTGACTCAGGGATTGAACCCAGGCCTCCTACATTGCAGGCAGATTCTTTACTGTCTGAGCCAACATGGAAGCCCCATTTTTTGATGTTAACTACATGCCAAGAACAGAGCTAAGTGCTCTACATACAATATATTTTTTTTTCTTTCAACATTATTCTGAGAGCTTACCATATGCTGGGCCCTATGCCAAATTCTGGGGATAAAGGAGGTGACATGAATAGGGGCACTAATCTCATGAAATTTACAGCCAAGGATGCAGACAACAGTCAAGTAGTGACACTATAATAAAGTAAAATGACAGGAGTCAATCTCTCAGGAGGAGAGATTTACAGAGTTATAAAAGCACTTAACTGGGGATGTGGCCTTGACTGAGAATACAAAGGAAGTACTGAGATTTGAAAGTTAAGGAGGAGGTAACCAGATGAAAAGAAGTGAATGCATCCCAGACCCAGAAAACAGTACGTGCAAAGGGACAGTGGTCACACAGGCCAGAAAACAGAAGAGGTTTCCAAGGTTCAGAAAACACCCTGATTAAAGACTGGATTTTTTTTTTTTCTTGTCATTACAAACAGGGAGTGTGCTTTAATCTCATCAACAAGTGCTCTGAATGTGGTGTGAACAGGCAGGGCAGCTGATGCGATCATCTGTGTGAGATAACAAGGAAGGTTGCTGGCCATCAAGGAGGAAACAGAAGTAAATTGAGTGGACAGATTGCAAAGACAAGCTCTTAGTATCATTCACTTAAAATTGGAGAAACTGAGGCTGCTTTTCACCAAGCTGGGAGGTGGTAGAATGATTCAAGCCCAGCCACGGCTGATTCCCAAACCTCTCCAGCACACCCAGGTGGCATGTCACCCCGAGTCCTTCAAGGTTTCTGAACCACCACTGCCTTTCAATTCTCTAGCCTGACCAGGGGTGGCTTCCCCAGGTGGAAGGAGACGGGGAGAGAGGCCAGGCTAGAGAGGCCATGGTGTATCAGATCCCATGACCCTCTTATCAGCAGAGCAAGCTGTGATGAGTGAATCAAACAGAACAAAAATACACCAGAGAATTTCCTTCTCAGAAGCATGTGTAGGGACTTCCCTGGTGGTCCAGTAGCTAAGACTCTGCACTCCCAATGCAGGGGGGGCTAGTTTCAATTCCTGATCAGGGAACTAGATCCCACATGCCATGACCCAGGGGTCCACATGCCATAACCGAGACCCAGCGCAGTGAAATAATATGAATATTTTTTAAATACCTTTAAAAAAGAAGCACATATAAAGCTTTCTTTCCCTGTTTTCTTTTAGAAGAACAGGAATCAGGGCAGAGGTCCTCCGTGTGCCTGGTCCAGCTGCCTCGTTTAATCTGCCTGGTGTCAGGACCCCTTGGATCTGTACCCACAGAACAGCCTCCAGTTGGTCATAAAGCCAGGCTGAATCCCAAGCACACGGGGGCCAACTGCTGTGCCCTGTCTCTCCAGGGAAGATGCAGCCAGTGGGGCCACTACGATGGAGGGGGTCTCAGGCAACAAGGCGGTGGGAGCTTGCCCAACCTCACCAGCCTCATGGGGGGGTGGGGGAGGGGGGCAGGCAGACTGAAAAGGGTGGGCTCACAGCGCAGCACACAGGCAGTCACATGTCACCAGAGTTTCCCTTGAGTGCAAAACTCTCCTCTTCTATGCCCGCCATCTTTGAATTATCCATAAGTGCTCTGTGACACCCAGGCCAGCCGAGCCCCTCACAACATGCACACTCATAATGCAGGAGAAGGAGGTGGTCTTGGGTTTAAAAAAAAAAAAAAACTTCTGTCTTTCCTTGAACCAGACCTAGAATGACCAGCATAAAATGTTTTACCTCTTCCAAAAGTATGGGTTAGCCATACTTTTTCCATAACATCTCACGGAAAAGCCTGAACAAATTTTTCGGCCAACTCAGTGTTTGCACAATGAAAGACAATTCCAGAAAGGCCTTTCAGGGGACAAGATTGTACACTCTGAAGTCAGCTTGATGGAAACAAATCCTAACTTGACCACTCATGAAACACAGGGCTTGGGAAGGTTTATGTTGTTTAGTCACTAAGTCATGTCTGACTCTCTGCAACCCCTTGGATGATAGTCTACCAGGCTTCTCTGTCCATGGGATTTCTCAGGCAAGAATACCAGAGAGGGTAGCCATTGCCTTCTCCAGGGGATCTTCCCAACCCAGGGGTGGAACTCGTGTCTCCTGCATTACAGGTAGATTCTTCATTGCTACATGCCAAGAACCATGTTATGTGCTCTACACACGATATTTTCACTCAATCCTAATTCTTTTTCATTCAACAATATCATAGCCACCAGGGAAGCCCTTTGGGAAGTTACATGTATTAATTGGGGTAAACAGCATTAGCTGCTTTAAGAGATAAACCTAGGAAGTTCCCTGGTGTCCAATGGCTAAGGCTCCATGCTCCATCCAAATGCAGGGGGCTCAGGTTCAATCCCTGGTCAGGGAACTAGATCCCAGATGCCACAACTAAGAGTCCACATGCCACCACTAAAACTTCCTCATGCCACAACTAAAAGATCCTGCATGCCGCAACTAAGACCTGACAGCCAAATAAGTTTTAAAAAAGAGAGAGAGATACCCAATATAAGCTAACACAGAAAATGCTGAATCCTTACTTGTGGTTGTCCACTGTGGGCCAGCAGTGGAAATAGCTCTGCTCCAATGAGGGCCCCAGGCTCCTTCCATCTTGTGGCTCCACCTTCTTCTAGGTCCTCAGATCTTTGAAGTAGAGCCAAATGTGTAACTACTTTATTTTTAATGGGCCACACCTGGGCGTATACTCATCCCCTCCACTCACATTCCATGAGGGGTTCCATGGACCTTCTACTGCAAAGGACACCTAGACAATGTAGTCTGACTAGGAATTCAGGAAGAGGAGACTGGATGTTCATGAGTCTAAGCAGTTGTTGCCATCTAAGGCAGCATCTATGAGCCTCTGTTTCCTGACCCATAAATCAGGGCTGATAAACACGGGGCTGCTTGGATGGTTAAATGTGATTGCATATATCACCAACACATGGTAAGTCCCCAGTAAACATTAGCTTTTATTATTTCTAAATCTTTGCTCCAAGCACAGAGTCTCTAAAAGTAGAACTTGAGGCAGGACCTGTTCATCGTAGGGGAAAGAGATTTTTATGCAGCTGTGAAGAAGATGGAGAAAACTGGCCCTCAAATCCTGCTCGGGGGTGCCCCTCCTCCCTCCCAGGCCCAGGACACAGGAACATTTACCTCAGGATGCGAACGCTGCTCACGGCTTTTCGGAAAGGCTCAATCTCAGCAACATGGAGTCTGGCTGTCCATTCAGCCATTCGTTGACATTCGCAGTCACCGAGAACAGGGTCGTCCCGGGCACGGTCAGAAGCTCGGACTACAAAGAAAAATAAAACATGGTCCAAAAATTTCACCGTCTAAAGCGTGAGGACTAACTCACAAGCCCATCTGTGGGACAGAGCAGGCTCGACGCTGGCACAGAAGTGATGGCCCAAACTGTGAAGGCGGGGGAGAGGACCACAAGTTCTGCCCACGAGCTTAGAGCTGGGTACTCACAGGGACGAGAACGTGGGGACGAGAAGGTGAGAGGGCTGCCCGGACTAAGAAGTAGATTGCAGGAGTGAGAAGAAAGTCATAAGCTGACCATGGAGACCTTGCCGAAGGCTAGAGCGGATGGCTACGCAGGTGGACCCGCCCCACCACGTGGAGCTCTGATCACGCCCACAACTTCCAGGGCCAGACCAATCAGAGCAGGACCTCGAGGGGGCGTGGTTACCAGGGGCGGATTCTGAAGCTCCCCAGGGGAAGCAAACCTGCAGCCCTGGGAGACGTACTGATTGGAGCCTTAACAGGAGGTACGTGGCCTCAGACATCCATTTCTGAGTGAGGCAGGAAGGAAGACCAGGCCAAGAAGTCGGACGTCCTCCTCCATACCACGAGGAGTGTGCAATGGGGCTCTTGTTGTCTAGTCGTTAAGTCGCGTCTGACTCTTTGCGACCCCATGAACTGTAGCCCACCAGGCTCCTCTGTCCTTGGAATTCCCCAGGCAAGAATACTGGAGTGGGTTGCCATTCCCTTCTCCAGGGGATCTTCCCGACTCCAGGATTGAACCCGCGTCTCCTGCTTGGCAGGCGGATTCTTTACTGTCTCGGCCACCAGGGAAGCGCAAGGCTCTTGCACCTGGGGAGAAATATTACTGGGAAATCCTTTGACTAGCAAAGTGGAGAGAGGAGAGGAGCAGAAAGAACAGTCTGGGAGGCTGCATCAGCCCCCGTGTAACAGCCCAGATGATGAGGAGACACAGGATTAGGTTTTGGAGGGAGGAGGAGGCTCTGTATCTCCCTCACAGCTGGGGGCAGGGTCAGTACTGGGTCGAGCTCAGCAGGGTTCAGTCCAGAAGCTCAGAGGGTGCCCTGCAGGGGAAGTGTCACACACACCAACATGGCCTCTCCACACAGGTAAAAGAACCAATGCCTCAGGAGAAGGGCTCAAGGAGAAGTCTAACCTAGGCTTACCTTCAGGATTCCTCTGATGGGCTCACATCAAGACTTTGCAGGAACATTCTGATCCAGTGTGCCCACAGCCAAGCCCCACCATCCATCCTGACGCTTCTGGGAAGCCTGAACCCTCCCTCTGACGCCCAAGCTGGCCCTCCGACTGCGGGGCAGCCCTCCAAAACCAAATCTGCACTAGCTGGAGTCTTTCCAGGGACTGACCTCACCTGTTGCCCAAGCCCCACCCTCCTAAACCTGGTACATGCTTGCTGTCTGGCCACAAGGTGGCAGCCTTTCCCACGAAATCTTCCTGGATCTGGGCCTGGGCACCCAGGACTGGTTTAGCGAAAATGTCAGGCAGCTCCACTCTGAAAATTAAGAGACGGCCAAGAAAGCCCTGGGCCCAGAGAAGAGTCCTGTGCCCTCAAAGAGGCCCCTGGAATCGGTTCCAGGAAGCAAGATTCCAAAGTATATTCGCCCTGGGAACAGCCAGACTGGATTCAGAGCCTAGCTCCACCACGTATTCCCTGAGATTTTCATACAAACCTTCCCCTTCCTGAGCAACCTATTTTCTCAGGTGCAAAATGGGGGGAAATTACTTTATAGGATTATTTGAAAAGAGTAACAAAAATAATAAATACGAAGTACTTGGCAAGTGCAAAATTGGGATTTAAAATTTTCTTTTTTCTTAAAATAATTGTATGTATTTATTCATTTGGCTTTACTGGGTCTTTGTTGCTGCCCGGGCTTTTCTCTAGGTGCGGTGAGCGGGGACCACTCTAGTGGTGTGTGGACTTCTCACTGCAGTGGTTTCTTGTGTTGAGGAGCACAGGCTCTAGACACACGGGCTTCAGTCATTGCAGCTCTAAGGCTCCAGAGCACAAGCTCAGTAGTTGTGACACATGGACTTAGATGCTCCATGGCAAGTGGGATCTGCCCAGATCAGGGATGGAACCCATGTCTCCTGCATTAACAGGCAGGTTCTTTACCACTGAGCTACCAGGGAAGCTTTAAAGTTTTATTTTCTACTCCAAAGACCGTAACCCCAAAATAATGCCCTGTTTTCCTTTCACAGCATTTTACCATTTAAATCCCACTGTCCCCCTTTTTAGCTAAGCCTGGGCTCTTTACCTAACCTCTGAAGCCTCACTTTCCTCCTCTCTGAAATGAGTATGATGATCCCATCTCACAGGGAGATGCTGTAACTAACACCAAGCTTGAAGTGAAGTGAAGTTGCTCAGTCGTGTCCAACTCTTTGCAACCCCATGGACTGTAGCCCACCAGGCTCCTCCATCCATGGGATTCTCCAGGCAAGAATGTTGGAGTGGGTTGCCATTTCCTTCTCCAGGGGATCTTCCTGACCCAGGGATTGAACCTAGGTCTCCCACATTGCAGGCAGACGCTTTAACCTCTGAGCCAACACCCATCTTAGTGCCTGGCAAATGGAGATGACTATTCATCCAACACGAAGCATGATTATTACTCTTAGCCTCTGAGGACTGAAGGTGGAGCCCCTGTCCCGAGATTAGCTAAACACGGTCCCAGTCCTGAAGCTTGACCTGTCAAAGAGCAAACGTCACCACTCTCCTCTCCATCCGCCCCACACATAAACTACAGAAAGCAATAAACATGCGCTTGGCTAGCAGACCCTGGAGCAAGAGGAAAAGAAGCTATGCCCGCACCCCCACAGGAATATTCTACCCAGTGGTCACCCTCCCAGAGAATGAAATGGAAGGATCTTGGTGGGGTCCGTTACCCAGGTTCTCAGTTAGGAGGTAGTGAAGGTAGGGAGTGATCACCTGGCACCTGGCCAGCTACACAGTCCTCATCAGGGCCCCAGCCTGAGCAAGACAGACAACCTCTCTTTTTGCCCCACCCACCTTTATTTGGGGGGGGGGGCTCCAAAATCACTGCAGATGGTGACTGCAGTCATGAAATTAAAAGACACTTGCTCCTTGGAAGAAAAGTTATCACCAACCTAGACAGCATATTAAAAAGCAGAGACATTACTTTGCCAACAAAGGACTATCTAGTCAAAGCTATGGTTTTTCTGGTAGTCATGTATGGATGTGAGAGTTGGACCATAAAGAAAGCTGAGCACCAAAGAATTGATGCTTTTGAACTGTGGTGTTGGAGAAGACTTGAGAGTCCCTTGGAGTGCAAGAAGATCCAACCAGTTCATCCTATAGGAAATCAATCCTGAATATTCATTGGAAGGACTGATGCTGAAACTGAAACTCCAATACTTTGGCCACCTGATATGAAGAAGTGACACCTTGGAATAGATTCTGATGCTGGGAAAGATTGAAGGCAGGAGGAGTAGGGGACGACAGAGTAGGAGATTATTGGATGGCATCACCGACTGGATGGACATGAGTTTGAGTAAGTTCTGGGTGTTAGTGATGGACAGGGAAGCCTGCCATGCTGCAGCCCATGGGGTCACAAAGAGTCAGACACGACTGAGCTGAAGTGACCCACTTTTAGTCCTCCGTGTGGGTGGCCACTTCCATGAAGCATTCTCTTCCATCCTTCCCCCTTAGCGATTGCTTATCTGTCCTTTCCAGTGCATCTCCTCCCTGGTCCCCTTCACTATCTAAACCCAGTGAAATTATCAAATGCTTTCACCTGGTACTTCCCTAGTGGTCCAGTGCTTAAGACTTTGCCTTCCAATGCAGGGGGTGAGGATTTGATCACTGGTCAGGAAGGACAGAGGACGAGATGGTTGGATGGCATCACTGACTCAATAGACATGAGTTTGATCAAACTCTGGGAGATAGCGAAGGACAGGAAAGCCTGACTTGCTGCAGTCCATGGGGTTGCAAAAGTCAGACCCAACTTAGCAACTGAACAAGAGAGCTAGGATCCCACGTGCCTCTTGGCCAAAAAACCAAAACACGAGCAATACAAATTCAATAAAGACTTTAAAAATGGTCCACCTCAAAAAAAAAAAAAAACCCTTTCACCTAAATTAATTGATCCTACTTGAATTTTACATTTACCGAGTGAGACAGTCAGGAGCAGCTGAGAAACTGAGGCTTGAAGAGAGGAAGTGACCAGATGAAGTCACACAACACAACAGACCCTTTCTAGTGTCTGGAAATCCTCTTCCTCCTGTTCCCAGTCTACTATCTGATTATATTATGGTTCATTATTTTCATTGCCAGGCCCCTCCCTCAACAACGTTTCACCTTCATGTGATCTCAGTCAAACACGGATTTATTCTAAGGCAGGAGCCATTGGCCAGAAGGATTCTGCCCCATGGGTTGAAGTCAGCCAGGTGCACATCTATCATGCAGGAGGCTGGAGTGGGGAGGGGAGATGAGAGGAAAATCCCAGACTGGCTCTGCCCCCAGGCAGCATCACTGTGTTAACCAGAGCACTTGTGATGCTAAGTGTCAGAACTGGCAAGTCCAAAGGCATGACTGACTTCAGACATGGTTGGATCCAGGGGCTCAAAGGATGTCGTTGCCCTGCCTCCACCTCTGCTTCCCATGAGAAGTGGCCTTATTCCCAAGTAGGCTTTCTCCACGTGTGGCAACAATGACTGCTAACAGCCCCAAACCTATAGCCTTGCAGCACCCATGGAAACAGCAGAGAGCCCTCCCTCTACACAGAGAAGACCTTGAATTGGCTCAAATCCCACCAGAACTTGGGGACCATAGATTTGCAGCAACATGGATGAAGCTAGAGATTATCATATTAAGTGAAGTAAGTCAGAAAGAGAAAGACAAACATCATATAACATCACTTGTATGTGGAATCTAATACATGACACAAATGAACAGAAATATGACACTACAGAACAGAAAAAGAATCAGGGACATCGAGAATAGATGGGTGGTTGCCAAGGAGAAGGGGGAGTGAGAGAGGGATGGATCGAGAGTTCGGGCTTAGCAGATGCAAACTGGTGTATATATATTAATAGAATGGGCAAACAACAGTTCCTACTGCACAGAACAGGAAACTGTATTCAATACTCCGTGATGAACCATAATGGAAAAGAATATGAAAACACACGTATACATATATGTGTATATAACTAAGTCACTTTGCCGTGCAGCAGTAATTAACACAACATTGTAAATCAGCTATACTTCAACAGGAAAAAAACAGAACTCTGGAGCCATAAAGAGTGGGAAAAGGTGGTTTCCCCCAGGAAAGATAAGTGCTTAGACAAAAACATGCTAGCTGCTGGTGTATGCACTGAAACCACGCCATTTGTCTATTCTATCAACAAAGCGTCCCCACACATCTTAGGTGCTCGGTTGATGAGGTCAGGGGATGGGGATCCAAGGATCAACACACAGCCATCTGGGAGCAGTCTGGTGGGGAACGCCAACCAACAAAACAACAATCACAATGCAACACAGAAGTGCTGGGGAGAGAACCATGCTGGGCATGATGGGAACATGGTGCGGGGAACAGTTAATTCAGCACTGATGGGGATTTGGAAGAAAGGACATAGGAACTTCCAGGTGGTCCAGCGGCTGAGACTCTGCACTCCCAGTACAGGGGGCTCAAGTTCAATCCCTGGTCAGGGAACTAGATACCACATGCCGCAGCTAAGACCCAGCACAGACAAATAAGTAAATATTAAAAAGAAAAACACGTGCACAGGTACCACATTGGGCAGATCTAGGTTGAAACTTAATGGGCATAAAGGTACCAAGCCCATCAAGTCTTTCTGCTAAGGTTCTTATCCACCTCCCCCACCACCTGCCACCGCCCACCGTGGGTCTTTCCAGTCCTCTGTGAAGGCAGGGAGCCTCCTCCCAACACCAGCCTAGAGAACCTGTCACTGGGCAGAGCTGGGGATGGGGAAGGGCTGGACATCCCTCCTGCCCTTTCACTCCTCTCCCCCCCACACACACACGGGGAGCCGGACCTCCCCTTGGTGTCTCTGCTCTACCACACGGGTCTCCTGCCAAGTACCACCAACACTCATGGGCGGGTGGTCTGTCATGGGGCTGGGCCACATCCCTGACCTCCGGCCACTAGACAGCTCCCCATGCCTAGTTGTGTGCATGCCTAGCTGCTTCAGTCGTATCCGACTCTTTGCAACCCCATGGGCTGGAGCCCATCAGGCTTCTCTGTCCATGGGATTTCCCAGGCAAGAATACTGGAGTGGGTTGCCCTTTCATTTCCCAGAGGATCTTCCCAACCCAGGGATCAAACCTATGTCTCTCATGTCTGCTGCATTAGCAGGTACGTTCTATCCCATTAGAGCCCACCTGGGAAGCCCTGCCTAGTTGTGATGACCCTGAAACAACACCTCCAGACATGGCCTGCTGTCCTCTAGAGGTGGGGAGAAATACCCTCCTTTGAGAACCCCTCTCTCATCTCCCCTCCACCCCAGACTCCAGTCCCCTGGTCAGGCAGGCTAGCTCCCACTAAGCAGACACTTGTCAGTACTCACCCAAATCCATCCAGGGTGTGCTGCTTCTCCCGCACACACCCCCTTGCTCTGCACATTCCATTGTTCCCACGTACTCACGAGTTACATGCATCCCCTGCACAGTGCAGGCCACCGCCCACGTGCTCTGTGTGACGCCTTGGCTCACGCCCAGGGTCCTGGTACCCGTGTAGTCCTCCCCCACGCCTTGCAGAGTGTCACACACACGTTCTTCCTCCATGTGGCCCACACTGGAAATCAGGCCTGAGTGCACAGACCCATGCTCCTCTGAGCATACACCACGTGCCCCCCTGCACACAGGCAAACACACAATGTGTGTTGCGATTCAATAGACACACACGTGCAGGTCATAGCACCTGGTGCAGACCCTGGGCCTTCTACCCCATTGCTCAAAGCATGGTCTGCTGTGCACTTCTGAGCAGACTAAGTGAGACATGCCTCTCCTTAACCCATCTTCTCGCTCTTCACGCCAGTGTCACTGGCATCAGGATGTATGGTATACCCCCAGAACTGAGAGAGTCAAGACACTCCTGGCCAGTGGAGGTTCCCACAATAATAGGAAGGACAACAGCTTGGCAGACTCGTGCTGCTGAGAAAAACACCACCTCCTGCAAGCCACCAGGTTGGTGCAGATGGACACTGACTCATATTCTCTCTAGAAATGCCACGGCACCATGCCCAGCCCCATCCAGAAAACACTGGAAATCATTAATCACCATCAGATGCCCCTTTTCAAGAGACTCCTGGAACAGGACAGGGGAGGAAGGAGGAAATACATTACCCAGTCATCTCAGGCCCCAGCATCCCGCCTAGGTTCCAAAGGAGGGCCCTTGAGAGGGCCCTTGACCCTCTCCACTTGTCACATTCTCATTGGGATGGCTCTGACATTCATCACTGGAATGGACCCGGGAGCTGCGCCCAAACAGACCTGCCGCCACTCCATCTGCAGTGTTCAGGTCGCTGCCTCCCTTTTAGCAGGGGGAGCAAGCGGGGCAGGGGAGGGCCTGGGAGATGGGGCAGCAATCCATTCTCTCCTCCATACTTGGCTCATGAATTTAGCTACTGAGTAGTATCTCCTAGGTGGTGGATCCCAGAAGGAGACACTCAGGGCGGAGACCAGTCCTTAGTCCCAGAAGCCCTGGTGTGGAAAGACAGGAAGTTTGTGTGACATCACTCTCAGCACAGATGTAGACTCTGTATACAGACATACAGTGGGGTGGCCACTTCATGCTCCTCTTCTGACCTTGTAGGACAGGACATCTGACAGTCTGACATCTGACAGTCTCTACACTTGAGAAGGTGTACAGTGAAATGGTTTCTGGTACAAGCTTTGGAGTCAGTGATTTGAGGTTGAACTCTGCTCTACTATGTACTTGCCCCAAGCCTCAGATAAGCTCCCTGAGACCTAGCATCCTCCTCTGTGAAGTGGAGAAAATGATGCTGCATGCCTCCTGCAGGGATTATGTGACTCCACTGACACCCACTCTGTGTAAAGCACTTACACGGAGATGCCACAGCCCCACATGCTGGCTCTTGTTAAGAGCAGGATACAGAAGACAGCACTTAGCACCATCTCAACAATGCCCACAGGACAGAGAACCTGGGCTCTGCCAAGGGCTCAGCTGACGGACCCGAAGGCAGAAGCATCACCCTGGAGACCCTTTTCCCCCTCTTTGTAATCCCCACCCCTGCTGGAAACCCCTATGTTGTCCTGCTGGAGATCTGGCAGAGGGGAAACTGAGGACCAGCACAGAAAGGAAGAGAGTCCCGTTCGGAAGCTCGTCCTGTGGATGGGAAAGCCCCGGGGGAAACCGGGTGGAGACCAAGTCTAAGCCACTGCACATCCAGGCAGGCTCAGGCTGTCAGAGCAGAGGGAAGCAGGCCAGCTCTCCCAGGCCTCTGCTTGTGGCCTCGGGGACCCCAACCCCAGCCCCTTCCCTCTGCTCCTGCACAAGGGAGGTGCTGGAACCCACTCGCGAGATGACTCGTCCTTCCCAACCCCGTGTTCAGTGACACCACACTGGTAGTTTGGCAGGGGCCATAGCGGGGATAGCTACACCATGCATGCGAGCAAATTTCCACGAGACTGGGGTGGGTTAGGGTGGTGGAATGCAAGAAAGGATAAAGGCATATCAAAGAGCCATTCAGCAGGCCGCCTCTGGTGGCCAACTGGTTGGGATTCTGAGCTTTCACTCCATGGCCCACCTTCAGTCCCTGGTTGGGGAACAGAGATCCCACAAGCCATGTGGCTGGGCCAAAAATAAAAAAGAGAGAGAGAGATTAAGAGGACAAGTATATGGATACCAAGGAGGAAGTGAGAGTGGGAGTCACTGGAAGATAGGACTGCCACATATACACTATTGCTACGGCTCCCCGGGTGGCACTAGTGGTACAGAACCCACCTGCCAATGCTGGAGACGTAAGAGACGTGGGTTTGATCCCTGAGTCGGGAGGATCTCCTAGAGGAGGGCGTGGTGACCCACCCCAGTATCCTTGCCTGGAGAATCCCGTGGTCAGAGGAACCTGGTGGGCTACAGTCCACGGGGGTGCAAAGAGTCAGACACGACTGAATGTAAAATAGATAACTAATGAGAACCTCCCGAACAACACAGGGGATTCGGAGCTCTGCAGTGACCTAAATAGAAGGAAACCCAAAAACGAGGGGGTCTATGTATACACATCGCTGATTCACTTTACTGTACAGTAGAAACCCACTATTAATAACACCACCTTGTAAAACAACTGTACACCAATAAAAATTAATTTTTAAAAACAGAAAAAAGGAATCCCTACCACTTACAACATGAAAAAGAAATGAGAGAGAGAGAGAATTGGGGAGAGAGCATCCCTAAAGGTGAAAGCTTTGTCTTTTGACTTCAAGGATACAGCACTTGGACACCCAAGGCGAAGAACTCAGGCCTGGCAACATTCTAAAACAAATCAACAATTAACTACTGATAACAACGGTGGTTGAAGTGGCACAAGGACATTTTCTGCGTTCTTCCACATTTTCAGGGTGTGTGCAACCAGTTGACAATGATACAGCCTGGACCGTGGTGCAGGCCACCTGCTAGTGCAGGTGAAAATCCCTGCCTTCAGCTTCCTGGCACTGGTTCTCCCCAGGCTGGGAAACTTGCCTGCAGAAGCCTCACGAACCCCCTCTCTGAAGGGAGCTGCGGGGTACAAGGTCACACCATCCCCTACTCCAGTGGGGAGTTCACATCCAGGGACCAGTCCACCCCAAGCTTCAAAGGCCTGGCTGCTCCCCTGGATGAGCAGCATCCCTGAAGAGTTATCCCAGCTCCAGAGCTCCAAAGGGATTGGCCCAGGCCAGGGCTTCTATGGCACTGCAGCCCAACTTCCCCCTCCGCCCAACCCTGCACCCCTCCCTCCCTCCCAGGTGTTGTTCCTGGCATGCTAAGAAGCTTCCTGCACTCAAATCTTCAGCCCAGAATCTTTTCCCAGGGAACTCATCCTAAAATACACCGTACCCATCTCCCTGTAAAGAGACCACTGCCCAGGAGAGCTAATGCTCAACTCCAGGTGGTTCTTTGCAGTGAGGACTTGTGCATGGCTATCCCACAAGTGCAGGGGCTCCCCAGGTGGCACTAGTGGTAAAGAACCTGCCTACCAATGCAGGAGACATAAGAGATGAGGGTTCGACCCCTGGGTTGGGAAGATCCCCTGGAGGAGGGCATGGCAGCCCACTCCAGTGTTCTTGCCTGGAGAATCCCATGGACAGAGGACCCTGGCAGGCTACAGTCCATGGGCTCGCAGAGAGTTGGACATGATTGAAGCGACTTAGCAGGCATGCACGTGGAGATGCCAGGGACCTGTAGAGCCGATGTAGGGGGTTCCTTGGAAGAGGTGCCTCACAGTTTGTTTTGCTGGGGGGTGGGGTGGGAGAAGTAGGGGGAGCAGCATGATGGAGTGTGTATGTGTGTGTGTGTGTGTGTGTGCACGCACACCTCTGCTGCTGTTTGTTTTCCACCCCTGTTGAAGGGCACGGCAAGAGGCGGGGAGGCAAAAGAATGTCACCTGCTTGCTGAGTTTAGCAACACCCAGGACCTCTGAGACAACAGCCACCTGCTCTGCTAACTACACAACGCATCTGAGTGTGCAGAAACACACGCCCTCTCTACCTGCAGGCGCAAAACGCACACAGCCCAAGACACACAGCCCGCCTTCCCAGTCCTGGTTCTTCAGTGGCAATGGAAAGAACTCAGCCCACCCCACTTTGAGTGCAAGAGGTGAAGTTGAAGATCAGGCTCTGGGATCAGCTCCTGGTCACAGGTAAATCCTAGCCTCCAGCACATGTCACTCGCTCCCACATGAGTCCATTTATTCATTTCCCCCAAAGACGCACTGCACTTACTGTTTGCCATCTTTGCCGGCTCGGAAGCTCCCTGTGAGAGGCGAGCCCCAGCTCACTCTCCACAAGAGGATGCTGCACAGATGGGACGTCTCCTCACCACCTGGAACAAGGGAGTTCCTGGCCTCCCTGCCGACCAGAGGGCTCTACTGAACAAACTCCAGGCAGTGGACCCCGTCCATGCTGGTGGCTCCACACAGAGGCAGAATTCGCCTCCCACCTTCCCCCACAATCCTCCTGCCCAATCCAGCGTTCATTGAGAGCACATGCCTGAAACTTGCCCCTGGTGGGGGCAACCGTGTTACTCGTTACCTCGGTGATTGGAAATTGATTTCTTCTCTGAGCTGCTGAAGATGAGTTGAGGAGGAAAACCTGTGGAGGGCAAGTGTTCTGGGTCCTTGTGCCCTTAGGGTAACAGTCATGCCATTCACCGTTCAGATGAATCTAGAACTTCACCAAGCACTCAGATGCCAGATCTCATGTGCTGGGAGAATCTTCTGTATTCCCAGAGATGGGAGGTCTTATGTTAACACTAGCTACTGTGCAGACTGGAATTTAATGTCAGGCAGGCTTGGGTCTGATTCCTCCCCCTGCTTCTCCCACCCCACCCCACCCCCCGACCCAGCAAAACACACTGAGGCAACTCTTCCAAGGAAGCCCCTACATTGTCTCTACAGGTCCCTGGCATCTCCATGTGCACGCCTTCTAAGTCGCTTCCATTGTGTCTGACCCTTTGCGACCCCCAGCCCCAGCTGGATGTGGGAAGTGCCAGCTCGGTACCTGGTTCAGGATGCCCACTCAATCCACGGCCACTGTCAGTACTATTGTTGCCAACCCCAGGGAAGCTC